GGAGGTGTCGGTGACGGGCCATAATAATCATATACAGTGTATATTGACAAAATAAAAAAAAAATAAAAATAAAATATTTCATATTAAAAAAATAAAAAATAAAAAATAAAAATAAAAATAAAACAACCTTACTAATCCAGAGACTGAAACTAATTGGCTTCTTTTTACACATTTATAGTAAATGTACTATATTAACTTGAAAATAATGCTACTATCACAGCTAGATGCTTTTAACAGTCACACCATTACCTAGCAGAGAGCTATCCTAGCTAAATAAAATGACTTCAGGGGTAATTTTTTTTTTTTTTTTTTAAGTAAGGGAGATGACTACTATAGTAAGAAACCACAGTAACTAGTTAGTACATTTTTTTGTTAGAACAGTCTGTTAAGAAACTGTGTGGAACAATCTTAATATGATTTTTCTGTGTAATGTGCTAACAAGGGCTTTTTAAATTAAAAGTTTCCAAAATCCTGTATGATCTGAGGGAAAATGCAGGTCAACTTAACTTTATATTACAATAGTTCAAAGAAGCTAAATAACTGGGCCGGCCGGTGGCGCACTGGAGAGTGCGCCACTTGGGAGCGCGGCGGCGCTCCCGCCGAGGGTTCGGATCCCATGTGGAGACCGGTTCCTGCTCACTGGTTGAGTGCGGTGGGGGCGCAACACTGAGGGTTGCGATCCCGTTGCCGGTCCCCGGTACGGGCACGACACTGAGGGTTGCGACCCCGTTACCGGTCAGTAAAAAAGACAAAAAGGAAAAAAAAAAAAAAGAAGCTAAATAACAAATACAGATTCTTCTAAGAACAATTTCAAAAATAATTTTGTTTTCAGATTTATTTTTAGAATAAACATTTAAGCAGGAGTATGTCCCTTGCACTCATTGTAGTAAGAAGATTCTTGATTTTAATTGCCAAATTCTTAAGTTATTGTATTCTGTATATATCAGAGCTACTAAAATCAATGTACATGTATTGTTAAAAAATCAGGCTGTTAAGTGGTAATTTGAAAACTAAATCTATCTACTCATCTGGCCTATACATATAATATAGTAGAACAAATTAGCTCTGGATTATAAATTTTGTCTTTCATATTATTTTAGGCCCCTTAAGGAGACTTTTATTGAATTAAACATATGAAAAAGCACATAAATCATACCTTATGCCTGTGTTGAAATTTGTCTCCAATAATATGCATGCCTTTCTTACAAGATAGGCCCATTTTATTAGACATTTTAAGCCACATATATTTAAGAATGTGAAGAGCAGGAAATGGCTCTTTATATGCTTTATTTTGATGATTATAGAGTCAAGCTTGTATATTTATGGATTTAGAATTCTGTCTGAAGTTTTTCTTTTTATGTGTTTTCCAGGCTCTACAGTTTTTAATGTCCTCAAAGGACTTTTGGAGGTGGCAATTGGTGTGGCAACTGGATCTCTTCTTGGATTTTTTATTCAGTACTTTCCAAGCAGTGACCAGGTAAAAGAAATAATCTGTGGAAAGTCATGCTCTAAAATGTCATTGGAAAAACATTCTAGAACACTTTCCTCAAAACCGGATATGAAGAACACATTGAGAAAATGATCTCCCATTTTAAAATTGCTTACTGCTATATTAGTGCTGTCCATGAGATTTATGAAGAGGGTTAAATATATAAGATTTCAATGTAGTCTTGGAATTTTTTTCTCTAATTTATATTCTGTACATTTCAAATTTCACTGTAAAACATATAGAAATCTTTTATTTCTACAAAATTGGCATTATTTTGAAATTTCAGAGCATTGAATGGAATGGGAAACTTAACTAAAAAGGAACTGTAATTAAGAAAATTAATATTTTTATGATCAGAGTGTACGTTGATTTGAATTTTTATTATGTCCAAAAAAACTCCAAGTAAAATCATCTGTAAAAGAGTTTATTAATGCATAAAAGAAAATTATAGGATTATTCTAATTATACAAGAAAATAAAGAGAAAGATGATAGCTTACATTTTGTTTCTTACTGTTTATCAAATGATGCGGTAAGCACTATAAAGTCATCATCTAGTACCACTCTGTTCAGTACAGCAGGCACTAGGTACAGGTGGCTATAGCAGATATAGAACAATTCCATAGACGGTGCAGACATAGAACGCCTCCATCATCACCAAATATTCTATTGGGAAGTGCTGGTCTAGTGCAATCCATACAGCAATCCATAAAGAGAGTACTATTAACATGACCATTTTACTGATAAGGAAATTGAGACTTAGGCAAGATAAGTGACTTGAACGAGGTCACAAAACTTGAAAGCAGTGGAGGTGAGAATGAACTCAGGTGATCCACTTCCAGAACTTTTATTTTTACTTTTTAAAAAATTTTTAACAGCTTTACTGTATATTTTTACATATCAAAATTAATCAATTTCAAGTGTACAACAACTTAATTTTTACTAATCACTCATGTTGCGACCATCACCATAAATCAATTTTAGAACATTTTCATCACCCCAGTAAGATTCCTCATGCCCATTTATAGTTAATGTTCCCAACCTTGGCCCCAGGCAACCACTAATGTACTTTCTGTCTGTATAAATTTGCCTTTTCTGGACATTTTGATAATGTGATAATATAATATGTGATGTTTTGTAACTACCCTTTTTCACCTAGCATAATGATTTTGAGGGCCATCGATGATGTGTCATGTGTCAGAACTTTCTTTTTTATTGCCAAATAATATCCATTGTACAGGTATGTCACATTTTGTTTATCCATTCAGCAGCTGATGGATGTTTAGGTTGTTTTCTGTTTTTTGCTATTATCAATAATGCTGATATAAACATTCATGTACAAGTCTTTGTAGAAATGTGTTTTCCAGGACTCAATTTTAAAGACCTACTTTCTAAAGTGCTCAAGAAGTTTAAAAGGCTGAACAGGCAAAAATAAAGAGAGACAAGTATACAATTCTTTGACTTTAAAACAGCAACAGCAAAAACTACTCAGTCTATAGCCTCTTAAAGCTTCTTGGTATTGAAGGATTTAGAAAGACAAACTAAGAGAGCATCAAATCAAATTAAAGAGCAAACAGACAGCCTGAAAATGATAGAGATATGATATTTTTAACTGTCACAAAATCCTTATGATGTAAATGCTTTCAATGAGGAAACAAAGTTTGGAGAGGTTAAATAATGTAGCCACTACATTCGCCAATGATGTAAAAAATATAGAATTTTAACCCTGGTCTATCTGGCTCCAAAGTCCATGCACTTTTTTCTGCTACTCCATTAAGCCCTGTGAAATTCTGCATTGATAACTGCAGAGTAAGAGAACTTGTGTTCCTGAAAAATGAACCTACAATTGTACATATACTAATTCTGCTTTTGTTAAGGAAAAGAAAGTAAATGTTATTTCATGCATTCCAACATTTATATTTTCCTCTAAATCCTGGGAATGGAAAAATCAATCATTAAAAATCAGTTATTTGACATAATTAAGCTAATCAACCTTTTTTCTTCCTAAAGAGAAAACTTGTGTGGAAGAGAGCATTCCTTGTTTTGGGGTTCTCTGTGCTAGCTGTGTTCAGCAGCGTGTATTTTGGTTTCCCTGGATCAGGAGGACTGTGCACATTGGTCATGGCTTTCCTTGCAGGCATGGGATGGAGCAGCAAAAAGGTGAATTTCATTTTAAGTTCTTCTGCTCATGACTTTTTTCTAATCAGATTAATTTTTCTTTCTAGATGCTTTCTTAACATCAAGTTAATAAAATATTTTAATCACAAGAGCTATTTTCTATGCATATAAAAATGTACACTCAATGCACATAGGCATATCCTTTTTTCCCCTTACATACCAATCTAAAACTTGATGTCTTTACTTAAAACATATCAAGGTCATACCACCACGGTGCCTTCCTTATTCTTTGTAATGGATGTAGAGTTTTGCTTTGTATTGTATACCATACTTTATTTTACCAGTCTCTTACTAATAGACATTTTGTTGTTTTCTGCCAAGACAAACAGTGCTTCAATAAAATATGCTTACCTATACCATATTTTATAAACTCTTAAGACATTTTCAATTCTAAAAAACACCATTATTTTATATCCCACCAAGAAGGAAAAAAATATCTTTGAGTTTATCTATAGGATAAATTTCTAGAAATAGGATTCCTCCAGGAAAGAGTATGCATATTTATACTTTTGATAGTATAAGTTTGCCCTTTTAAAAGGCTGTACCAGTTTACATTTCCACCGATAGTATGTGAGAGGATCTGTTTTCTTGATCTGAGTATTTTCAGTCGTCAAATATTTTGCTAATTTGATAGATGAAAAATGTATCTCGTTATGGTTTGCATTTCTTTACTAGTAAAGCTAATCATCTGTTCATATGATTACTAGCCAGTTTATTCAAAAACCTTTGCCCATTTTTATAAGGCTGTTTTGGTTTCTCAGTAATTTTCAAAAACAAGCATTGATTTTTTAATATGTATTATAGAAATTAGCTGGTTGCTATTTATTTTAATTTCCAGATTTATTTTTATAGATTTGAACTTGACAGGATCATATTCTATTCTGCTTAATGAAGTTTAGTTTGGTGACCTAAACTAAATGTTGCTATGTCATTTTGGAATAATCTTATAAAACTTGGAAGACAACCGTCAAAGAAAGAGTAGGAAAGATGGTTACCAGAGACCAGAAGGGGAGAGGGGATCGGGGAAATGGTAAAGGAAGTGGTGGATTAATGGGTGCAAAGCTATGCTATCTATTCTAAGTGAATCAACATTCAGTATATTCATATATTGAAACAACACACTGTACCTCACAAATATGTACAAATAAATCTTAAAATTAAAAAAAAAACTTGAAGACAACTGTTCAAAATAATTGAACTTAAATAACTAAAATAATTAAATAAATAATTAAAATAATGCCACATGGGAAAATCGGTGAAGGTTATAAATCTTGCAGTTAGATACATAATCACACTTCTGTGGCCATCTACTAGAGACAGAATTTCATTGTGGGTAAATAGCATTCAAATAGAAGGCTATCACTTTATAAGATGTGATTATAATGTTAGGACAAGTATGATTGTGAGTCATCTCACTTTAAAAGAGGGATGGGTTGGTAGAGCTGCCTGAAGCTTCATGTCCAGAAGGGTATTGAGCCCATAGGAATGTGGTCTGAGATGGATTGGGCTTAGGGGAAAGGGGAGAATTTCTTTTAATCCCTGCTCTAGGTACTAGATGGGCAGGCACCTAGGTTTGCTGCTTTTTCAGGAGGCTTAGCTTAGTTCAGGTCTTTTCTTTTTTTGGTCTTTTTTTTTGTTTTTGTTTTTTTTTTGGAGCACCTGTATTATCATATCAACTTTTATTTTCTGATTTCAAGTAACTCAACGTCCAACAAGAGCAAAGCAAAAAGGGAAACTTCCTAGAATAAATTGGACACTCTTATCATCCCTCGTATCTCATAAACATTGGCTGTTATCAAAACATTTGTTTTCCCATGGCTTCACTTTCCTTGTGGGCTCTGGCAAGGCTCTCACCCACCACTGGTCAGTCTTCTGTCTAACCTCAGCTCAAGACAAAGGAATGTGCTGCCCCCCCTTGCTTCTCCCTAAGGACTTAGAGCTGCCTGTCTTCCTTCCCAGCCTGGGCTGCTGACTAATGTACCCAGCTCTTTGAAGCCCTCTGGACTACTTTTTTGCCCCAGGACAAAGAGGCCATTTAGGTAACGGATGCTACTGTATTTGCATTGGGACCCCTTGTCCAAAGATCTGGGAAGTTTGACAGATATTAGCATTTTACACACTGCCCCTTCTTTTTTAAAAAAATTTTTTTTTATTATTGAAATATAATTGATAGTACATATTTATGGGGTACAGAGTTGACAATCAATACTTGTGATACAAGTACATAATTGATAGTACATATTTGTGGGGTACAGAGTTGACTATCAATACTTGTACAATATGTGATAATCAAATCAGTATAATTAGCATATTCATCATTACAATACGTAATCATTCATTGTGTCCATTAACCAATTTCTCACTGACCCCGCTCCCCTCCTCCTTTCTCATCTCTAGAACCATAGTTCTGTTCTCTCCTTCTGAAAGTTCACAGTATTATGGTGATTGTTTCTTTCTTTCTTTCTATCTTTCTTTCTTTCTTTCAGCTCCCATTTATGAGTAAGGACATGTGGAATTTCTCTTTCTGTGCCTGGCTTATTTCACTTAACATGATTTTCTTCAGGCTCATCCATGTTGCAGTGAATGGTAGAATTTCATTCTCTTTTTTATGGCTGAGTAGTATTCCATTGTGTATATATGCCATATTTTCCTCACCACAACATTACCTTAACTTCTTAACGGTAACCTTCTTTCAGCATTAAAAAAATATTTAATAAAGAGAATATTTTTAAAAATAAAGTTTACTTCTGGGCCGGCCCGGTGGCGCACTGGAGAGTGCACCGCTTGGGAGCGCGGCAGCGCTCCCACCGAGGGTTCGGATCCCATGTGGTAACCGGTTCCCGCTCACTGGCTGAGCGTGGCGCGGGCGCAACACTGAGGGTTGCGATCCCGTTGCCGGTCCCCGGTACGGGCGCGACACCGAGGGTTGCAATCCCGTTACTGGCCAGTAAAAAAAGACAAAAAGGAAAAAAAAAAAGTTTACTTCTGAGTATGAAAGCCATATATGCTCACTGTTGAATTTTGGAAGCTTTTTTTTTAAAGACAGAGAAAAATCATCTATAATTCTATCACCTAAAGCCAACAGCTCTGTAACTATTTAAATATTTTGGTTTATTTCATTTATGCAAAAAGAAAGTTCTCGAATATGCTTGTAGTAAATTTCTTCAAATAGAATTTTTACAGGTAAATGCTTTCTGTTGTCACTTCTTAAAATTTTTCAAAAATTAAAATCTGGGCCGGCCCGGTGGCGCACTCAGTAGAGTGCGGCGCTTGGGAGCGCGGTGGCGATCCCGCCGAGGGTTCGGATCCCATATAGAGACCAGTCCGCTCACTGGCTGAGCGCGGTGCGGGTGCGACACTGAGGGTTGCGATCCTGTTGCTGGTCGCGGTACCAGCGCGACACCGAGGGTTGCGATCCCGTTACCGGTCACGAAAAAAAGACAAAAAGGAAAAAAAAAATTAAATCCAGCTCATTATATTATACTGTCATGGATAAAAAGACAGAAGGGAACTAATAAATTTTTGTTGTTACTCTGTATGGCTCTGTGCTAGGCACTAAGTGGATATTCTCTTTTATTTTCACAAAAAAAAATCTTTGAAAAAGTACTATAGCAGTTTCTACTTAAAAGAGACTGTAAGTCAGAAAGACTTAAATAACATGTCCAGGGTCACAAAATTAGAAAGTGGCACTGAGCTTAAATCCAGCTAGTACTACCCTATAATACAACTGCAGCATTATTATGCAGGGCACATTTTTATATTTTGATATCTATTTTAGTAACCCATACCAAGTGTATTAAAAATATTATAATTCTAAACTTCGCAATTTAAAGTTGTCTCTAAAGTCATAAATTATAGGATAAAAAGAATAAACAATAAGAGCTATATCATTCAGAATAGAGCATAATAGAGTAGTTTTAGCAACAGAGAAATCAAAGGGAGACTGATGCCTACGGTAAGTGGGCTTTGACTATGGACATAGAAAAAAGAGGGGAAGAGATACTTTGATAATTTCTAATTACACTGTTCTTCAGAAAAACTATAATGTGAGTTTTGCAAAAAAGACATTATAAAGCATTGTTCTCTTTGCATTTGCCATGACTTTGCCTGAATTGCCCCCAGCCCGGCTGATTACAAAAAAGATGAATCCCACACCCAGAAAGAGAACTATTAACATTTTTTCATATTTATTATCTTGCTAATTACTATATATCTCTCTTTATACACACTCTCTCTCTCTCTCTCACACACACACACACACACACACACACACACACACACACACACACACACACACGGATGTACCAGAACTCCAAGGTACAATAGGTTTTCTTTCCACCATTCCTTTATAACTTTAGATTTATTTCCAGTCTCTCCTATTTTACAGTATGCTGAAACACATTTATGATCATTTCCTTAGGGCAGATTCCAACAGTGAAATTTGGGAGTCAAATAATATGAACATTTTGAGGTTTTTGGCACATATTGCCAAACCGCTTTCTAGAGTTTGTAGCCATTTATTTTTCCAGCAGTAATACATCAGTTACGTATCTCATTACAACTTCATCAGCTTAGAATAGTGTTTCTCAAACATTAGCATACATCAAAATTACCTGGAAAATATGATGTTGATGGGGGTGGAAAGGGGGAGAGGGAGGTCAGTAAGGGGGGAATTGGTAAAGGGCCACAAAAACAACTACATTATATAACGATAAATAAAAAAATAAATTTAAAAATAAATACATAAAATAAAATACATATGGACTAAAAGGAAAAAAAATAATTACCTAGAAGGCTTGTTAAATTCGAGTGCTGGGCCCTACCCTCAAATTTCTGATTTAGGTAGATTATGGTGGGGCTTAAGAATTTGTACTAATAACAAAAGTCCAGGTGAGTCTGAGGATCACACTGTGAACTACTGACTTAAAATATTATTGTTTTTATTGTTTAGCCATACTGATAGGTAAAAAATGGTATCTTGT